AAAATAGCTTAGTGACGAAATTAGGGACCAAAATTAGCTTGAAATCAAACCAAAGATGAGAATTATATCGTGTCGTAATTAGGGACCAAAAATGGCTGGCGTGTCGTAATTAGGGACAAAAAATGGCTGGGTGACGAAATTAGAGACACTATTTTTTTGTCAATTTTAGACATCTTCCTCGCAAGTTATTGAACTCATTCTAGACAAATTCGTTTGTCATGAACCTTTAGATTATGGTAGATCTTGACACGCTCTACAAAATTGCTCAGGTGACCTATACTCATTTTTCGACGAAAAAGCCTAAAAAACTTGTTTTCTTCGAAAGATAAGATTTTGCTTGAATTTTCTATGTGTGTCGTAATTAGGGACCAAAAATGGCTTGCTGTCGAAATTAGGGACAGGGCTCCTAATAACGACAGATTGAGTCCTCGATCGTATACCGCTGATATCTCGGTAAAAAATTGGAGGAGAAAACTCATTTATACATCATTCGAAAGAGGAGAATCCAGGGATCATCGATATATAAAAATATTTTCATTCTCATGTAAAATAGTTGTGAACGAACTCAAACAAGATAGAGCAATTTTTTGCTGTCGTAATTAGGGACATTTGCTCTATGTCTGCAATTAAAAATTATCTATGAAATGTTACATGTAGACATATCGCCTATATATAGATATTGCTAATATTCTTTTTTCCTTAATGAACACCCTTTAATTCGCCGATCAAACATCACTTCATTCTGAATCATGGTATATTTAGTACTGAACATATATGTACCACAAACTTTTGGAACCACCTTGACATAATAGCAGGAGTGATACAAGTGAAGGTTGTGTTGAAGTAGACTATAGAAATGTTAATAGTTTTCAATGTCAAACAGTTGACAAGGTAATGTTTTGTTTGCACACGTTCAGAAAAACCAAGACAACAAAGATTCTATTCCAAAGAATGAATATAGATTAAACATTTTCTTCTCACTTTTTTCATAGTGAACCCTAACTCATATGTCAAAATAGATAATAGTCTTGATAAAAAATGAAATGAGTTCTATTCTAAAAATGTTGACTTTTGGGTGAAGATATTTGAAACAATAACGATTAATAGATCTAAGAAATGTAATCTCATCAAACTCTGCTCTATTTTACATAAAGTATCATATTGTAATGATTTTTACTTTCGATAAGACTTATGAAAATTTTCTACAAACAGCTTCTGATTAAATGTTTGTTAATAATTATGGAGTAAGTCAAGAATTTTGAGTGTTACAGAATAAGGATAGTCATATCTCAACAAATCTTGAGAATATGGCCGAAGCTGAGAATACTACAAAATGTTTGTATAGAGTAACAACGTTCCAGAGTGTTCTAATATATTTATATAAAACATTAAACATAATACACGGATGTCTGCAAAGGGTGTGGGTGGGGTGTGAGTGTGGGTATGGGTGTGGGCACGGGTGGGTGTGGGTGTGGGTGTGGGAGTATGGGTGTCAGTGTGGCTGTGGGTATGGTATGAGTGTAAGAGTGGTGTGGGTGCGGGATATGGGCGTGGGTGTGAGTCTGGGTGTGGATGAGTGTAGGTGTGGGTGTGGGTGTAGGCGCGGTTGTGGCTGTGGCTGTCGGTGTCCTTTTACACACCCACACTCACACACCCCACACCCTTTATTTCATCGAATGTTTCAAGTAGTTCCTCCAGTGATTTGCATAGAATCGAATTGTTCAAGACACTAGTTCTTTCGAGAAACAATCTATTACTTCAGTTCTACGAAAACATAACATGTGAAATTCATATAGATTATTGAGTTTCTATTAGTAACAACTCTTATTGTAGTCTATCCACGGAGAAAATCACGAAAACCTAAAATCTTGAATTCCCTGAATTCCAAGGATTCCCTATGATTCTTTAGAATTCAAAGTATTCCTCACAATTGCATAGGACTTCTCTCGCTTCCCTAGAATTCCTCATGATTCCTTAAAGTGTCTCAGATATTCATAGGATTTGTTAGGGCTTCAATCTATGGAATTCTCTTGAAACGGTGTAGGTGTGGATATGAGATGGCTTGGCTCTTCTATCATCCACGCTCACACCCACATGCAAACCAAACCCCATACCCACATCCACACCTGAAACAATAGAAGCAAGCTTCAAAAGCTTGTCATGCCTTAATGTACTCGTAAAACTCTTCTGGATATCGATCAATATCTCGAGACTACAGCAAAACTTTCAAACCACACAGAAATTCACATGAGGAATAAGAAAAGGTTTCAGAGAACCAATAAATGCTATTGAATACTGGCGAAAACTCTGGAATTACAGATGATTGTGTTAGAGTAGTGACAAAGGTCTACAAAAACCATGAATGTATCAGAGTAGTCGCAATAATGTTTGTGCTAGGAAGCAGTCTGTGGATGTAGATATGGGTGAAGGTGGACTGTTTGGTGAGTGTGCCTTTAACTTAGCTTAACTAAGACAAGATTTCCGAGACCCATTGATTCCTACACCCACATCCCATATCCACTTCAGGCTACCAACTAATGCCTCTGAGTGGCATCTAAAACACCTAAAGAAACAGAAAATTTAGGACAGGAAGGAAAAAAAGGCTTTGAATGGCTGCCGAGAGTATGCGCAGAGTCAAGAGGCTTCACCTTTCGACGAATGTGGGCGAGTGGGATGGGAAGCTTTTTCATCGGAAAAAGTATATTCAGAAGGGACAGCGAATTTTTTAGAAAACCCATTAGGACATCAGCAGAGTGTGAGTGTCAGCAGGTATAAACGAAGAAGACGCACATCCACAACACCCACACTCTAGTCCTTGCGAAAATATACGGTATACAGACGAAAGTCTTTAGATACCAGCGAATGCTGCTTGGCCAGACCAAAATATATTAAGTAGACCGCGCAAATTTCCGTGAAGTATTCAAAGTACCAGAAACTCGAGCAAACCTTAAGGAGGGCGTGGGATAGATGTAAGTAAAGTTAGCAGCAGATTCGAGTATTTCCCCCTAATATTCGCAACAACAGCTGTGCCAGATTAAACATTGGTTGTGCCAGGTAGCCCATCGAATATACTATAGAATGCCATACGTTCAACACCTTTTCACTACATCGTTTACCGGCAAAATAAAAAAAATTGATAAAAAAACGCTTTTTTTACTGCGAATATCAGTATTTCCACCAAATATTCGCTCCTCATCTTGTGCCATTCACGAAATCACTTGTGCCAGATAGAATTCGATGAGATCTATCGATTGGTACCCATTACGCGACAATTGAAGCCAACATACAGGGGCCAAGTGGTCAGCACCTCGAAAACCAACTTACGCCACCCTTAATCCGGGCAAATATTCGATTACATGGTGATGAGTAAAAGCATAAACATATTCTGAAACAATCTTCTATCCAACTACAAGTTTTATATAATTTCTCGGAAAAGTAAGAAACGAATCAGGAAATCGTTTGAACAGACAAGACGAAGCTTTCAAGATGAATCTTGATTATTACATGACATGATCATCATTTCCTAGAATTATGATCAGCTATTTCAGAAATTTTATGAGAGTGACTAGTGTTTTCTCTAGAATTTATTCGGTTAGATTTCTGTTTGATTGACATTATCCTATTATTAGTAGTTTGAACAAGAATCTATCGTTTTTTTCCTACTAGAATTATTTCATAAATGATGAGTCGAGAAGAATACGAATCGATGTGTACTTCTTATAGTATATTATACCTGTTGATAAATACTGTACTTATATTTCTTTTTGCGGGATCTTGTTCTATTTTGAGAGTATGCATATTTAGATTCGATAACCGATCCGATTTCTTTTTTTAGTTTTCACTTAAGAAACTCTATCAGTAAATTCAAAAATGGCTTCGAAATACGTCGATATCGATGAAGAACACATACACACGCAACGTTTTTCGGATATTGCCGGAGAACCTTGCCGAATGTTGATGCCCATTCAAGGCTACGAAAAAAAGCCTCTGGTTACGCTTGAAGAGGCTGTTGAACCTGTAGTATCGTATGTACCTGATGTAAAACGAATGGCTTACATTGCAAAAATGAAATGTGCAGAACTTTCACCAGGAAAACTACCGATAAATCAAGCAGCCTCGATTACACTCTATTCAATGGAATGGGAACCACAAGAAGAGTGTCTGTATTATGTCTTTAACCAGACACTACGTAATGAAAATCGGCAAAAGGTGAAGCCGTGGTTTCTTTTTCTAAGATTGATTTTGACGGCATTGGCTCAGCTCCCATCGACGGTGTCTTATGTTTACCGTGGAATTAAACGGGATATGAGAAAGGAATATCCGGAGGGAAAAACATTCGTTTGGTGGGGATTCAGTTCTTGTACATCCAAGTTAAGTGTACTCCAGAATGAACAATTTTTGGGTATGACAGGTCCAAGAACTCTCTTTACAATCGAATGCGATAGTGGCAAAGATATCGGAAAATATTCTTGTTTTCAAGCGGAAGATGAAATTCTTCTTCCAGCCGCAAGACAATTTAAAGTCATGGGATGTCTCAGTCAAGGTAAAGATCTTTATCTTATACAACTCAAAGAAATTCAACCGCCATTTCCCCTGATTGAACTTGTACCAATAGTGAGAATTCACATCTATTTCAAATTTATCGATGTTCATAGCTATACATTTTTTTTCTAGACACCTCCCAAGAAAATTTCACCAGCACCAATTGTACCATCACCACCGAAACCCATTGCCACGAAAATCACAACAGCAGGTAAGAGCGTTAAAAATCGATTTTTTTTATCGTCAATCGATAGAGTAACCCATGTTGATAAATTAAAGTAGATAAAGAGTAAGAATCGCACACTTCTTCATGCACTGATTATCAATTTGAGAGAATTAATCAAAAGAAAATCCAATTACATTGCACCTACACTCAATTTGTAATCCATAAAATCAGATTTAAATCGCAAAAATGAATGTAAATTCAGAAAATTTGAATTAATTAGAATTCAAATTACTTTGGATTCAATTTGTGGTAAATCAAACTTAATTTGAATAAACTTGTAAAATTTGATGGATTTTTATGACTTTCAGTTAAGGTGGGTTTGAATTTCTAAAAAAATTAAAATGAATCTAAATTAACATATACAGATGTAAATTTCTTTTCTCTATCTTTTATCAGTAAACAGTTGATAGATTATATTAATATGAATTCTGCCTTGCTTCATTTCAGATTGAGTATTTCATCTAGAAGTAAAATAAAATATCAGTAAAATCATCAAAGATCAGTGGTAGAAGTTCATTTGCTAACGGAAAATAGACTGCTGTTACGAGTTTTAAAAAAGAATTGTTGATAAAATTTTGTATCCGACGGTTTTTCTCGTAGTAAAAAATTCATCTATCTCTGTTCAGTCGTTCATCTTGGAATGCATTAAATTTTTGGAGTATTACACATTAAATAAAATAATTGCGTTTATAGATTACAGAGCGAAAAAAATGGTTGAGAATAATCGACATACATTTTTGAGCTACATAAACGTAAAATCCATTGCATTTACAGGTTAGAATTAGCTTCTACATGAAAAAAGAGTGCGTTGAAAAACAGTCGATCTCAGACTGACATTTGTATATGTTCGCATTTAAAGGAAGAAGACAACGTAAATATTTTTCGTTTAATAGCTTAGAATCAATACGACATTGTTTAATTCTTATCATAAATCGCACGATATCATAAATGAGACGAATACATACGATCAATTACGAAAATTTTTGATAAAATCTAGAAAAAGAAATTTCTGAATTCATTCTTGTATATATGAATAAATTATATGGTTTGGTGTTTTTGCCCAAAAAAAATAAAACAAGGCCTAGTCCTTCATTTAGTTTCATCTTCCAGGATAAAATTTGTAATTCCAATCAATTCGATATAACAAATCGTTTGATTATTGTTATTGATCATCTTAAATGTGCCTATCTAAGCTATGTAGTCTATGTAAATAGCAGACAATTATTTTTTCTTAGATATGAAATAAGTATCGAGATTCTAACTTTTGACAGATTTGGTATCCAGAAAAATACTAGAATTTTTGGATATTTCACAAAGAATCAGATCAAAAAAAATTTTCTTTCTGAACAGTTTTTCACATTTAAAAGCTTTTCTCAAGATAAATCAGCCTGTTAGACTTGAGATAAATGTTGGTTTGGTAATTTTCTCTTTCTCCACTGTTCGCATGATATCCTGTTGTTTCCAGCAAATAGTTTTACATTTTTCTTCAATCATCACTTGTCTTGAAATAAATAAAAGGGGCAAAACTGAATGAACTCGCATGAGTAAATCAATTTTAATAGAAGAAATGTTGTTCTATTAGAGACAAGGCGTATTGAAATAAAACTGCGAAAGCCATATAAAAGAAGATGAAAGACATTTTGTTCATAAGCTACTCTTAAATATTGCCTTGATTATAGTGATCGCTTTGCTTCAGACCAAGGAAAAACAGTGCCTTTGAACCTTTCATACGGCAAGATTTCAAAGTATTCTTTGAGTCTATAAAACACTATGTCAAATCTCATAATGAATAAAGTTTTCAGTTTCCATTTTGTTTGTACCATTATCTAAACTAATAAGTTGAATGCGGGTGACATCTAAAACAGTATTTTACTAACAGACAACTGCTAGAGCTTCATCATAGATTACAACTTTCAATAAAACCATATTGATTACCATTTGTACGGTCTAGTCTTTGAAGAAAAGTGCAATTGAACATCAATTGCCGTATAGTAATACTTAGTTCGAAATTTTCAATATTAGTGCTACTTCAGTAAAAATTATATCATTAGAAAGAATATAAGAAACCGATCAAGACATGCTAATTTTCTCTGAGGCTTACTTTCAAGTTCATAGTAAAAATTTACAAAAATATCTAAAATTTCAAGAGATAACCGTAATCTTGTATATATATTATGTGAACAGCTGATAGGAAAGAAGAAAAAACCAACCTTGCCACATTGCTCGTAATGATTATGATGACAATAATGATGATGTGATAGTTCAATTTAAGAAAAGTATCAATACAGAATTATATTACATTATTATTGTATCAGACCTCATGAGTAATCTAAATATTTCAAGTTCTATTTCTCATACAAAAATATATATTGACTTTCTTATTGTTAATCGTTTCAAGAAAAAAGATATCTATTTCGTTTTTTTTTTTACTTTGTTTGTAGTAAATCATGAACAAATATTTTTTTGAATTGATCATAAAATTATTATTCCTTTTTCTTGTCAGTTATTCTTGCCATTGCTCGATCGAAAAGAATTGCTATTGTTTTTCTGCAATTTTATCGTCAATTTCAATATGCAATCAAAACCAACATAAATAAGTCTCATATGATTTTTGAATGTGAAAAATCCTTCTAGTTGATTTTTTTCGGGGAATGGGGTGCCATAAAATGAATATGAAAGAAATAGTTGGATATAAATGTGATCCTTGAACTACATTAGGTTTACCATCTTTGAAAGTAGTATCATGCACCTGTTGAATGATATTATTTTGATAAATCCTCATGCGATCATCAACATAACGAGATAAAATACCTAACACAAATTGTGTTAGTTATTCGTGCACTGAAATAATTATAGTTTCTGGCCATTCATTATGTTCAAAGAGGATTATTTCAAACACTTTTCATGAAGAAATTTTATTATATTTCTTTCAGCTATGTTTTTCCTCACGTCTTCAGTAACATCAACGTTTGCGTATGTATGTACAGGAAAACAGATAAAAAGAATATGACAGTTAATGGAATTATTTGGAAATTGTGTCACAGTCAAATAAGTGATTTACTCAAACAAGTTGCCTAATTTAAATAAACAATCTTTCGAATTTCAATCTTAAATATTTAAGCGAAAAACAGTTCAGCTTAACACAACTAGATGCTAACCTCCATAGGATATCACTTTACTCTTTTATCTTTCAAATCTGATCATCAGCTTGTATATATGATGTGAATTGAGAAAACAAATGGAAGGAGATATGCAATTATATCTTTATACATCATCTTTCTGAAATTAATATGATATAACAAAAAAGCCATCGTATTTATTCAAAAACTGAGTTCAACACACAGAATCAATACATAATTAAGGGATAAATAAGCTGTTTTCAATACAGAAAAGATGTTTCCTTTCAGATCTTGTGCAAGTAATATTTTCCAACATAAGTAAAAAGAAATAGATCTTTGTTTTTGAAACGATTAACACTAAGAAAGTCAATATATAGTTTTGAATGAGAAATAGAACTTGAAATATTTAGATTACTCATGAGATCTGATACAATAATGATGTAACGTAATTCCGTATTGATACTTTTCTTAAATTGATCTATCACATCAATATTATTATCATCATAATCGTTACGAGCAATGTGACAAGGTTGTTTTTTCTTCTTTCCTATTAGGTGTTCACATGATATACATGCAAGGTTGCGGTTGTCTCTAAAAAATTTAGATATTTTTGTAAATTTTTGCTACGAACTTGGAAGTATGCCTCAGAGGAAATTAGTATTTCTTGATCAATTTCTAGTGCTCTTTCGAATGATATAATTTTTACCGAAGCAAGATGATATTGAAAACTTCGAACTGCTTAGTTAATGTGAACTAAAATAATACTCTATTCTAGTCTGACTCTACTTTAAAAGATCACAGCATAAGCATAATACAACAGAGAATACTATGAAACAAAAAGATCTTTTGATCCCATTGATGGATGTTTTCGTCAATTCATTTTTTATAAATTAAATCATATTATTAATAGAAACAAGTTGTTGAAGAGAGGACGATTAATAGATGCTCATTGAAACCCTTGGTGTGAACCCGAGATGATCTTTACACGATAATTTGAAAAAGACGTAATCTCAAGAAAGGAAGTGTTTTCTTTTTATTTCAACATTTTAAACAAATTCATTCATTATGAATATTTGTATCAAAAAAGATGGAGATTATGAATTTCAATTCTTTATTATCTCTAATATTAATTGTTAACTTTAATAACATTTAATCAAAATATTGAAGATATTCTCTACTCAAGTTTATTTCAACGAAAAATATTATTTAACTTTGGAATTAAAGAATTCTGGTAGAAAAGTAAAATTTTGATTGATGATTCGAAAATGTAATCTATCATTTCTCCAATTTTGATTATAACGATAGCTTTCTAACATCATAAGATACTTCACGAACTCACTATCAACTTCTATCAATACTAAAAATAATCAGTATTAATTAACTTCCATGAAACTAATAGATTAAATTTGATGAGTATTTATTTCCATTGCGTAAGATGATCTTTTCAGAATAAATAAATTTTAATTGGTTCAATTTATATAAGTCTGTTCATATAAAACTTTTGCATCAACGTATGTCAAACCATACTGGGCCAGACATGAGTAAAAATTGTAATAAATTCTTATTGATCGTAATGATTAATGGATAAACTATATACACTTTTCAATATAGCGTATGAATGTAGCTTATCTTGACTACAAAGGGTTCTGTTTAAATTCAATAGGTTGGTGAAGTATTTACTTAGTTTTGAAAAGTTCTATAACTTAGACGTTTTTCTAACAACAATCTCATAACTGTATCATTTTTAATGAAGAAGTCATCTTTGTTTGAGATTCATGAATAGAACTATCGCTTCTAGAGTACTGTAAAATAATCTCATACATCGAAAAGAATTCTATTCATTAATAAGATAATTCTTATTTGTAATATGTACTTTTACATTACAGCTCTTTTTTGGGATCTTGTTCTATTTATAAGAATGCAGATCAGGATAATTGCAGACCATTCTTAAAAAACAAAGCAGAACAGAAATGAACATATCTATTGTAATACTAATCTTTACATATTCAGTTAACAAGCTGATCAGCTTACACGGTTGAATTTCACCATCTTCTTACATAAAGCTACAAGCTTCCAACTATGTGAAATTGCAATTGAATTGTTATTGTTTTCACATAGTTTACAAAGTCCCACAATGTTTATTTGTTAAATTTCATCAATTCGATTTAAAAAAAATGAATAGTTTCGTCCTGTTTCTCAGTAACATTAGTTAATCATACAAGATTCAAAGATAAAACACGTATAAGGACAGACTGAATGCTTCTTATCAGACGTTAACAGGTCATACAAGATCTAAAACAAAGAAACATACATGGTACATAATGTAGATCTTGTCTGTTATTATCTGTTCGTGTATGTGTGTTCTGTTCTTTCACTTGTTTGAGAATAGCTGACTCCATCAGCTTTTCTATGAAGAATAGCACCTGAAAAACAGGATCAAGCAGTGTACCTAATTTTTTTTATTCTTTTTCTATACTAATAGAATACAAAACGGTTACTTCTATTTCTTATTTTTCTGTGGTGACAAAATAGTAAATTCTATTTATTTTTTATTTTTCTATATTGATGATATGGAAACAGTTATTTTTGTCCAATTTGTCTATAGTAATAATATAGAAAATGCTGATTTTCGTTTGTTATTTTTTTTACATTCGTGATACGGAGAATCTTATTTTTCTACATTGGTAATAAAGATAACAGTTTGTTTTATTCTCTATTTTTTGTATATTGTTGACATGGAAAATCGTATTTTTTATTTTTCTATTATTATCAATATAGAAAAATAAGAATTAAAAATAAGATTTTCTATATTATTAATATAAAAAAATGAGAAATAAAAATAGGTTTTTCTATATTATCAATATAGAAGAATAAAAAATGACAATTAAGATTTTCTCTATTATTGCTATAGAAAAATCAAAAATTAAAGTTGAGATTTTCTATATTATCAATCTAAAAAATGAAAAACAATAAATAAGATTTTCTAAACTACCAATTTAGAAAAACAAGAAATGAAAATTTAGATTCGTATATTATTGATATATAAAAATAAGAAATAAAACCAACTGTTATCTATATCACCAACATAGAAAAATTAAAATTAAAACTAATCATTATTTATGTTATCAATATAGAAAATAAGAATTAACAAATATAACTTTCTACATTATTAACATAGACAAAGGAGAGGTAAAAACGAGATTCTCGATATTGCCAAAATAGAAAAACAAGAAGTAAAAATGGAAATTTCCATACTACAGTATAGAAAAATGAAAAATAATGAATAGGATTTTATATAATATCAAATATAGAGCAAATGTTGACTGTACTTGTTCTAAAATAAGACTGAAGTTTATGTGTAAAAAAACGAAGCAAGGTAGCCGATCAGACTGATCATTTCCATGTGTATAAGAGATATTTGAGAAGTTTGATTTAATTGAAATAAATCTATAATATTAATAAGCATCTCATATAGCTCTATGTCATTATCTATAAGTAGAATACAAAATTACCTACTAGAGTTTTGTCTCATAATCTCTTTGATTTAAAAAGCAGAAAGCATTGTTTTGTTTCTGACTCTCATCTTCGAGTTGTTTGACACATAATTAAAGCTCTCATACCGTTTTACATGTATTTGTTTTTTGTCGATGGAAGAAAAGAAATAATACTAAAATGTACTTTCTTCCAATTGCACTGAGACATTAAACATATTAAAAATACATGACATTACATGTAATAAAAATGAAAATTGATTAAATAGTATTAAATTTAATCAAGATCTCGATTATAGCTAGATTCTTCATAGATAAATTAGAAAGGATGAAATTATTTAAATTATTTTTAGGGAGTTTATAAAACTCCATGACATGTTTTATTAACTTCATCGGTTCTGTAACTGTCCATTCAAGATATAATCATAGAAGTATTGTTTCTAGTTTAAAGCTTAAATCGATATCAATATCAACCTTTAGAAAATTCTAGACCAACAAAAAAAACTTTCTTCTAAGATTTAACCAGTGCAGAATGCGATACAATAAAAATTTGAAGGGAAGAAATCTTCACACTTATTGCTATTGAGAATAGCTAAAATCATGATGAAATCTTTTACGATCGTTGCTTTTTTGTGAGAATCCTCAAAAATTTACACCTATTGAATAACCTACAAAACACAAATTTGCAAAAGATTTTAGATCAAGATTTTCATAGGAGATTCGTATTGTCTTGTAAAGAAGCGAAAATACTTAATTTTAGAAAGTTCGAAATCGACCCGTGATTGAAATTGCTATTGTTTAAAAAAAACGTGTTCCATATCCTATTAAGTTGAAAATTTGTAATACATTAGCAATGAATTCAAAATAAAAGATTTGATTGATTCGTATATAGATCATTGTTTGTAGTATAATGTAGAGTAATGAAGATGACAGATTCTTCAAATATTCTTGAACTTGGGAAAGATTTGTTTTTGAGTTCTTTTCATCTACTAAAATTCGAACTTACGTATTATTTTATCTAAACTTATCTTATTTAGCACTTCGATTAGCCTTTCTAAAAACTACTTGTTTGTTTGAGATTCAGGAATAAATTACTCAATAATAAATATGATGCAAAATTCATGGCATAAAATACTTTCGAATGATGTATGATTTATATTTGTCACACATTCGTAAATGGAATAAGAAAGAAAAATACTAACACAAAAACTTTGTAATTTTTAACGTCTTATGCATGGTAGTTAAGTATAATTAACTATCGTTATTATCTAGCAAGATGTTTTTAACGAATTCATATAAAAGTTGCAAATTTATTTTGTCTCGTTGCACTCAGAAATGTGTGACGAACATAAATCATACACCGTTTCCTATCAACTGATAACAAAATTGTTTTCCCTTACGTTCAAATTCTATTATAACTCATTTTATTGTAAAATCCAAACAATAAAAAATGAAATAATTCTTAAATATATTTCAAACTCGAACTAACAAAATCAGTAAATATGTTGGAAAAATTCGATATAAAAGAAAATTTCATTCACAATAAAATCCGAGTTAATCGCATTTTTCACATTACCAGTTAAATTTTAGTTACTTTTAGTCAAACTAAGGATTCTTACACAACATATTTCAGAAAAATCAACAAGGTTTTGTTTTCAACATTGAGAAAATCAGATTCGAATTAAGTTCATAAGTAAAAAGCTTTTGTAATTGAGAGCAGTTCAATACTGTTTAAAAGAAATGAGAATGAGTCATTTTAATGACATTGATGTTTATTTTTACTCCATACCTTTGTTTCATTTCAGTACCACTACGTGCAAGTTCCACTGATATTCATCCGAATGCAAAATGGGCACAGAATGGTATCACTGTTGCTGGAGGAAATGGAGATGGCAGTGGAACTAATCAACTCAACTCTCCATGGGGTTTGTACGTCTATGATGATCAAACGATTTATGTCGCTGATTGTTGGAATCATCGTATTGTGGAATGGAAATCTGGTGCAACGAATGGAAAAGTAGTTGCGGGTGGAAATGGAGAAGGAAATGGAGCTCATCAATTAAACTACCCACGAGATGTGATTATCGACAAAGAGAGCGATAGTCTCATCATCAGCGATTACGGGAATAAAAGAGTAGTTCGGTGGCCTCGTCGAAAAGGTACTCGTGGAGAAACAATTATTTCAAATATCGCTTGCTGTGGTTTGACAATGGACGACAATGGTTCTCTCTATGTCGTTGACTATGAAAAACATGAAGTGAGACGATATAAAATTGGTGACACTAAAGGAACAGTGGTTGCAGGTGGCAATGGACAAGGAAATCGTCTCGATCAACTCTCTAAGCCCACCTACGTATTTGTCGATCGAGATCATTCAGTTTATGTGTCTGATAATGGAAATCATCATGTCATGAAATGGGAAGAAGGTGCAAAACAAGGCATTGTCGTAGCCGGTGGTCAAGGAGAAGGAAATAGTCTTACACAATTGTTTTGTCCTCAAGGAGTCGTTGTTGATCAATTGGGTACTGTCTATGTGGCTGATTTTGTGAATCGTCGAATCATGCGTTGGCCAAAAGGAGCCACACAAGGAAGTGTCATTGTTGATGGAAAGGGTAAATGGTGGAAGTCGAAGCAACTCCATTTTCTCGTAGGTTTATCATTCGATCGACATGGTAATCTCTATGTCGTCGATATGGGTAATCATCGAGTACAAAAATTTAATATCGGATGAAATTCAATACGATGATGAATTTTATTTTTGTTTGTTCTCTTTCTGTTTCAAATAAATCGTGATTGAATGGAAAAATGAATTCATTGCTATTCTATTCGCGCGCGCGCGACCAGGAACCATCCTGGTGGAGCCCTGGCGAGCATAAAGCTCATGCACGCGCGGGAAGACTCACGTCATCCACACGCACTCATCCGATGTCATATGTCAGTGAGTCTGGGGGCCCGATCGTGTGCCACGGACACCAAGACAGTTCCTGGCCAGGCTTTTAGGGACTACCCGGAAGTCCTTCTTATAAAGCGAAACCCTAAACTCAACGTACCTCACTCACCCTAACTATTCTCATCTCAACAAAGAAAAGATAAAGAAAAACATGAATATAAAAGATCACAAGAGGACTTACCACCCTCTGTATGATCCAATAAAGAAAAAAAAAAGAAGAAAAAAATAAAAATTGATACCCACATTTTTTTGTTGTCTTGATTTGAATTGAATTGTATAATTTTGTATCGTTGCAGCCAATCTAAAATATAAAAAAAAAGATTAATATTTGATTCAATAAATTGAATGATTTTTACATGGAAAATCATTCATATTTATACGTTAAAAAGTCGATAATTTTCTTTTTTTTTTCTCGTCAGAGAGTGATGAAAAGATGATAAAAGTTAAGCTATTATCAACATACACGCATACATTGAGATAAAGTCAATCACAGTATCTCAATGTATGTGTATGGATAATGCTTAATTGACATACACACTCATTATGTCATATTATCATTGATCATCAATGACAACATGAAGCATAACTTACGGACGAGAGAAGAAAAGAAAAAAACATTATTGTCTAGGCCTGTTTTTCATTCTTGCCTGTGTCATGTTCGTTTGTGAGCACACGAAGCAGACGAACACACAATATTCAAGTATGTGTTCATCATTGAATTCTTTTCTCTTTGTTCGATAGATCAGCAGCAACATGGAAAAATTTTTATCATATATTCGCAATTTTTAATATGTAAAATATGAATTTATTGTAATTATTGCAACTTGTCAACTTGAAGGGCGTCATTTGTCTGATTTGAATGCTATATGGGTTGCTCGAAATCAATTTATTTTTCTTGATAAAAAAATTATATTGTAAGTTTAAATTTGTTTCTTTTTTTAAATTTTTTCATTAATTTTTTAGGTTGGTACACGTCTTTTATTAATTCGTGAAAATTATGATATTATTTTATATGATGCTCAACAAAAGCGCTCATTAACAAGTATAAGAAAAAGCAATATGGTCAAATGATAAAGTATGCCCTTATTAATGGTGATCATGGAGTTATTTGTACAGTTGATTTACCTATTTATGGAACAAAAGTTAATGAAAATATTGTTTTTTTGTTTTCATACAGAAGTTCGACCAAAATTAGATGGTAAAGATTGTTGGGAAAAATTAACTTTTATTTATTTACAAGATCAGATTCCAATGCTATTAGGAGATGTTGAAGAATGCATTAAACTTCTTAGACAATGAAATCAAAGTAAGATTTTACATTGTTCTTTTCTTTTTTCTAAGAGAAAATTATTAAATTTGTTGCGCTTCTTGTACACTGGAATCACTTGATGAAAAAGTAATTTATTATTGACAACAAAAAAAATTCTCATCTTAATACTTCTTCTGAAGGTCTTTAGAAAAAAAAACAAAACAATATAGAAAATTTTATTTTTAGTTTTCTAATATTTTCAGCTGAAAGTCCTGAAACCTAGTTATAGAATTTCGTGCCAATATATCAATCCTTTTGAGATTCTAAATAATATCTAAGAATGTTTAATTATGTCTGGCATATCCTTTATCTAAAGATTTTCCCGTACTATTGGATAGAGAAGTTTATGATAATTATCGATGTTGCTTTTGATATTGACAGATAAGATTTTTTTGAAAATAGATTACAAGAAATTACCATGTCATAGTTAATTTAGTGTTCCTGCTTTGATTGATATCCATTTGAATGTAGATTTTAAAAAAGTAAGAAGACTTCTCATATTCTATGTCAAAAAAGAAATAGGTCGGTAGACTGAGATTTCAACAAAGATGTTATTACTTGTTCTTTATCTAATTGATATGTTAGATATGAAGTATTAGGATAGACATACATTTAATCAATATTAATCTCGTGTTAAATTTCATAATTCAAAATAAAATATATTTTTTTAGTTACTTGAAACAAATCTACATGCTAAATTAATTTTACTACCATGTCCAAGAAGTCAACAAGAATTAAAGCAGGTTTAATATCAAACAGAACAGCAAAGCTTGCTGCAAACCTTCATATTGATGAAATAGCAAGAAGTGGTGAAGATTGGACTGATGATGCAATAAAAATTGAAGGTGTAAGTTGAGGTGATACTGAAATTGAACTATCACCTGATCTTGTATGTTTTTATTCAAATATATAAATTATTTGTTTACTTCATAAATATTTTAAAGTTATTTTAATTATTAAGGCGTAATGAACATTGACCAAAATTATTGTATCTACTACTTGGATTAAAATTAGAAAAATTAGTTGGACGCCTTGAAATTGCTTATTGTTTAACAAAAAACGAATAATTTCAAGATGAACAATGAATTGAAATATGTAAGGAATATATTGTTAGTTGACAAATGTCAATGACAAAAACGAAGATTTAGCGAAAGATGATGAAAAACGTTGATATGAATTAGTTGCCTGTTTTACTCATTGACAATTACAATCAATGCACAAAATCATAAAATTAAAATCTGCAGTTAATCAAGCATTTAAATTAAAAATTTATACAACTGCAACAAGCTTCACCAAACGTTTATTGGAATTGGAACCAACACCTGATGTTACTCAATAGATTTTCTGTTTTAGTATTAATCTTTCATTTTCAAACCAAATACTCTCATTCTTTCTTGACTTCAACTTTGAAAGGTTTTAAAATAAACCAAAAAAACAAGAAAGAAAACATATCTTTAATGCACTCAAGATATATCAAATCTGTTGATCGAAGTTGTTCATATGTTTTTGATTTATTGGAAACAATTGAGTTTATTCTTTGTTAGATGAAACATAATTTTGATTGAATTATTTTAGAAGGGGAACAAAAAAATAAATTTTTTTTTGTATTATTTTGTTTAGACACGAAGAGTATTAAATGTTTGTGAAAAAAATCCAATTGATGAACATCCATTAAATTATGATGAATATAATCCATTTAATATTTGTGCTGCATCCAATGTACCACATTTATCAGTATGAAATTTAAAAATGAAACTGAATTTAATTTAAAGTAATCTTTAATTCTTGTTTAGTGAAAATCCATTATCCGGTGCAGTCCATTTACCGGAATTTATAGGACAATTATGTCGAGTTACAAAAGCAACTGAAATTGGAATTCTAATTCTATTATCATTATTATTAACTTTTAATGCATATATTGTTCATTTTGAAAAAGTAACTTATCATTAAAACGTTTTTCTTTTATTTCAAGATAAAGAAATCCGTTTCTAAAACGAGAATTTAGAATCAATAGATTTGTGTGAAATAATTTCACTTTAGTAGCCACTGAAATTCTATGATAATTTATGAATAAATAATCTCAATTTATGAAACGATATCAATGCAATTGAGTACTTTATAATTGTTTAAGAAATTTTATCGACATGATTTCATTTGATATTCAACCTTTGCAATATCTCGATTGACTAACTCAATTAGTACTTTATGCACATCTATTAAGTCATTAATAAGACTAAGAGATAATTAAATGTCTAGAGATATACTTTTTGTTTTTTATAGATTTCTTCATATTGAAATAAAAATAAAAATGAACATTGAGAAATAAATTTCCATTCTAAAAACTAAAATGGAAGATAATAATGATGATGATTTTCTATTCAATGGCTTATTTTCCCCAATTGAAAAATCTTCGTTGATTTCGATTGACTTTTCTCCAGTTTCGCAACTACAGAGTTTCAAAGTAACAACAAAATAAAAACGAATTTTCTTAAATTAACATCGTTTGTTGATAATCATCATGGTGATGAAATCTTGACTCTACTATAGAAAAACATGATCTTAATGAAGCATTTCCAAGAAATTTTATAATAACAACAATGAAACGAGAAACAACATAATCGGAAAGATGTGTTATTGCAAAACAAATTCAATAATCATTAAATCAAAATGAAAATAACAGAACTGAAACAATAAGTAAAATATGTGAAGATAAACATCATACAACAGTAAAACAAGATGGTAAAATAATTCGAGAATATGAAAATGCAACAATAGATGAATTAGATCAAATTGATTCATCATCGAATGATAATAATGATCAGCCATTATTGGCAGGAAGAAATGTTCGGATTTTTTTCTAAAAACTTATTTCTTAAATAAAAGATTTTTGTTGAAATGATCTACTAAAAATAAATGAAAGAAAATATTATTCGAGCTTGTTTTTTTTATTATTTTGAAAAAAAACATGTAGTCGTCTCGCTGTTTTTTACTTAATATATTTTATTTTTTCCACTTCGTCAAAACTAAATCTCTTTTTCGATTGAAAATAATCTTGTCGACAATACCATCATTTTCCTCAAAAACGACAGAAAAGAAAAGTAAAAAAGGTGTCAATTCAGGTCGAATAAACATCCGACAGCTTCTAAACAACTAGACAAAACCTTTTTTCTCTAATCTTCATTTACAACTAACTCACAAATTAGAATATCAATTTAATCTTGTTATTGGGTTTTTAGAAAAAAAAATCTACAAATATTTCAATATCAATCTTCACCATAAAGTAAATTATTTAGATACGTTGAATAATATATTAGTATCATTCGTGAAGAAAGGAACTTTTCTTTTTGTTAAATAGCATATAAATGGATGCGAAGAAAGCATTGTGAAAATTAAGAAAGTTATTGTTCTCCTTTTCTTCTGATCTAAAGCCACACCCACACCCTAGAAATTCTTCGCTTCGCATCGCAATGGCGATTACGCTTTTGGATACGAATATTATCCATGATTTTATAAGTCCGATTATGAGAATGATAGATTTTATCAGCATAGACACCAGACATTTACTTGTCAGTCGATTATCTAAGTCATGATATGATAGAAAATTTGGAATTTTTGAAAAACAAGACAATTGAAAATAAGATATATGAAAAGCAGTCGTATATATTGTTTGTATCCAGGATTAAAGTCTCTGTGGTGACTAATCTGAGGAAAAACATTGTTTCTTTTTATATCTCACAGTCATAATAGTGATAGACTTTGAACAACAGTTCTGATCAGTCTAATTCGATACCGATATGGCAGCAGGCTATACGCTGAAAAGAGATGTAAAAATTGCGATGCTCGAAACAGGCTTTAAAATGGACAAATTTTTCATGGTGTAGACTTGTCAGATTCGATAAAAATTTCGTTTACAAAGATTTCTTCTAGTTGTATTTGAAGATGATTTTGCCATCTTTGAAGAACTTGATACATGTAAATGAGTATAACATGATATAACTTTCTGAAGACTTCTCATAAATTGAATCTCAAAAGGATAATCAATACATAAACAATTTTTTTGACACTAGTTAGAAACTTATCGATCATTTATAACTCTATTTTGCGCTATGAAAAATTAAGTCTTGAGTCAAACTTTCATCCTAATTTCTTGTTTCATTGTGATTTCTAGTTTATCTATTTATAAATAAATATCAGTAAGAATCATTAGTGTAATTGTCAATCTTTCATTTATACTATTAATTCAATAAGAATTATTACATTTCAGTCCGTTTTTCGTAAAAAGAATATCAATAAAACGAAACTGTGATGTGGTATAAAAAATAAAATAATCAGTATATGTTTCAATTTATGAATCCGTACCTATTGTAAATAAATGGCGATCATAAAATGTATCACTTCCAATATAGTGCAATGAGTATGAAGGTAAAGTAAAGGGCAATTATCATACTAAGCTCAGTTCTTAGATGAGAAGTATGGCAACAAGGTTCAAGTGTATAGATATTGCTGAAATAAAATTTGAGTTAGGATCTGTTCGGGTCGAAGTCTGAAGCTAATAGAGTCCAGATTCAGTTTGTTGTTCTTCGGATCCACGAAAATGTACACCTGCAACTCAATAACTCCAACAGTCCCTTTTTAGATCGTGTTTCACAAAATTTTAAAAAAAAAGTTGTTTTATTATTCTTTTGAAAAAGCTTGTTAGCATAGTCCATTTAGTGTCGATATATGGAACTCATATATACCACATAGGATAGAATAGTTGCTAAGATCTATAATGAAAAGAGGAGTCGATAACCTTCGATTTAAAACTTACATTCATTATATTCTTCGAAAATATATGAAAGTTCTACAAAAAACACTTTTACATTAATTTAATAGAGTTGATTGTATAATATATTTTTCTATTTATCATGAGATAAAATCTTAATATCATTTTGATCATTAAATAGATGTATTAATTGTGTTATTTATTCAACATTTTCAATAGATAAATTTGAAAATATTTTTAATCTGTCAGATTTATCTTAAAAGAAGTTTCCATTTATCTTACAACCATTAATTTGTAATTCTTCGTCTCTTCTGTCTTGTATAAAATACATTCATTTTGATGGAACAAATTCAAATTTTTATAATGTTATTTATCAATTTCTATTGTTTTTTCATCATAATCAACAAGTTCTTTGTTTTTCTAATCTTACATTTTTGAAAAAGTGTCGAAAATCAATTATATCGATGAAATTCGAGAGTTTTTTACTAATAGAAATCTTCTTCAGCAGTTGTTTAAATTATCTGTCGGACACAGACTTACCGAAACTGGAACTAATTTCTTTTGACTGACTACCAAAATCAAGACTAGGAATCAGAGCGAAATCTAGATTTAAAAAAATAGGTCTACTCATAAAATGAGATGTTATATTACTCTATGGAATTCTAAACAAATCTCTTTACGAAAACCTCAACGATATTATGGACATATCACATTTATCTGGTCCAGGTAACAACAAGATAAGTTTTACCAATTGTTTCGTATTTACTCACGGGAAAAAAGTTGAAAAATTACCTTTGATTGTCTTCTTATTGTAACCCGCGCGCTTTTGCTAGAGTTTAAGGGCACTTTGTAAAACGTGTTGAAACGTGCGTTTTTTCATTCAAAACGCAAACAATCAGTTCGAGAATACTTTCTTCTTATAACTAAATTTCGATACTCATATGCTTATACTCGTGTCACTGTAACTATACTGTTAGACGTACACTTCTTTACATAAAATTTATACAAAGTTGAAGTCCACACATATAATTTTTTAATTGATCAACATAAAAAATAAGTAAGACTTCTTTGAAAATTTTATCCAATGGATATATTTAATAAAACGACGTTATCTAGTCTCGATTGAACTGCATTGTAGTATGACATTATTATTTCAGCAATTACAGATCGAAAAAATAGATGAGGTTCAGTATCTCACACTTTTAGCAATAGTAAAATAAGTTTGTTTAGTTTCTTATACAAGTTTCATTCAATCACTATAACTTTCATGGATTTGAATAGTATCAAACACTGTATCATTAGATCACGTAAATGTAATATAACAAATAAAAATGTGCTTTGAAAGGCTGTTTCGAACGAATTTCTTTTTTGTGAATATTTCCAACAATTTGTAAACGCTAACGAGAGAATCTTTCCAGATTCTTTATTCTAATTGCAATGATTGTTTTGCCTGTGAATATTACATCTTGTTTTAGTGATAAATCTCAACATATTTGATTTCCAAGAAACTCACATTTTCGAATTTCATCGTTGAACTCCTTCTACGTAAATAAATCACATATTCAACATTAAATATACAGTTTCAGAATTTGAGATTCTATATTTTCGAATTAAGACGTTTTTGAACAGTAACTATTTTTAAAAGAATATTGCATCTCGGAAATATGTGGTGCCACAAACCGGAGATATCAAATGAGATCTCTGAAAATAAAAATAAATTATATGTATGAGAGTAGTAGATTAGATACTCTCTTTACCATGTTTTTTTCGTTGATTTAAATAGTTGATACCTCAATTGTTGTTCTGATAAATGTCAATTAACACACATTCGGCTCAACATTTCTGATGATAATTCGCCCAATAATATTCACCAATGTTTATTCCTATATAAAGTTCAATAACTGATCAAATTCAATTCTGCTGTTTGACACTTCGTTATTTATATATTTGTCTTACATATACATGTTTTCTTGAA